AAACTGAAAAAGATTAAACTGCAGAAAAGATTTATGAGGATGCTACTGAGACTGGAAGTCTTGAGTTATAAGAAAAAGCTGGGGAATCTGGGACCTTTTTCCCTGGAGCATAGTAGGCTGAGGGGTGACGTTATAGATGCTTATTAAATCATGAGGGGCATAGATAAGGTGAATGACCATGGTCTTTTCTCCAGGGTAGTGGAGTCCAGAACTAGAGGGCATAGATTTAACAGGAACTTGAGGAGCAACTGTTTCACACAGAGGGTGGTGCATATATGGAACAAGCTGCTAGAGGAGGTGGTAGAAGCAAGTACAACATTTGGAAGGTACATGAATAAGAAATGTTTAGAAAGATATGGGCCAAATGCAGGCAAATGGGATTAGTTCAGTTTAGGAAATCTGGTTGGCATGGAAAAGTTGGCCAAAGGGTCTGTTTCCGTGCTATATGATACTATGACTCTAAAAATTTGTTCAGAGACGAGTGAGGAGGAGAAGTAGATATGGAGAGTTTGAGAGACAAGCCCAATGTTTCAAATAATTGTTTTTCATTTCCATTTTTAATATGAAGCAGCATCTTAATGAATAGACACTTTTTCATCTCTGTTGCCACAACATCTTTCCTATTGTGCAGAGTGCAACATTGCAAATTGTACACTAATTGCAGTCCAGTCATAATATTGAATATAGCCTTGCCATTAGACCTCAATCTTTACATACTGTATCACTTACCATACAACTTAATATTCCATTGACCGTTCAAATTTCATACTGACTCAAGGTGATATTTTTCCAGTTTTGTCAGCATGCAACGATATGTCTTATCTCTACGTTTGCTAATTACATAGCCTTCTGCCATTCAAAATTCACGTTGTTTTAAAAACTGAACGATACTACCTCAAATTTGTTCACATTAAATTTCAAGTACCACCCTTTGTTCATTCTTATCAACTTCTGCTACCAGCTTCCTTTGGTTCCTGGAATTATCTACTGTACCTATCGAATTGTCTGTAAATTTGGACATCACTTCCTCTTGCAATCTTGCCAATCATTGATCTAAACAATGAACTAAAAAACAGCCAAGAGCATCACCTTGTGGGACACTGCTACCCACTTCCAACCACTCTG